GACGTAGGCAAATTGCCGAACCACGTATATTTCTGTGTTTGCGATTGGTTTATCATATTTGTTTAGATTGTGCTCGAGTTTGGTTAGTTAATCTTCTCCCGTGGCTCGCGGACTCATTTGGTTGCCGAGCACGCTTCCGCATGGCGCGTAATAATTGGTATCAGAGCTCAGATTTAATATCTAGGGTTTTGGCATTGGGTGGAGGAAGATTTATCGTGGAAGCTTGGTTCTTGAAGTTCTAGACTTCGGTGGAGATAGTGTTTGGGGTTGCCTTTGAAGATTTCGTTTTCCTTGTGTGGTTAGGAGATCTATTTGGAATCCGTTCTAGGGTTTCGTTGGGTAACTTCTAAATTCTATCAAGTTTAATTTTTTTTCTCTATAATTTGGAGTTTGTGACTATGAGAGAAGAAGTTGGTAAAAGTAGCAAGATGACGGGTACAGTTCAAGTTGGTTTTCAGAATACTAAAACTAGTGTGGTTAAATATGACAACAAGATCAATTTTGGTTTGTGGATGAGTGATGTACTACAGGATGCGCTCAATGCTCAGAATTTAGAGGATATCATCATGGTCCATGAGAGGCCACCAAAATATGAAGAGGCGGTATGGAAAAAGATGAATATAAATGCTTGTGAGGTGATCAGGTCCTATTTGGAACAGGATCTAAAGTATGATATGATTAGAGTGACATCTGCAATGAAGATGTGAGAGATTCTCAACAATAAGTACCTGATGAAGAGTGTTGAGAACCGTTTGTACTTGCTACGAAGATTGTTTAGCTTTTAGATGTCTAGAGGCACCTCACTAGCAGTTTATGTGAACAACTACACTAAGCTGTTATCGGACTTGGCCAATGTGGATGAGAAGATTACGGATGAGTATAAGGCTATTATTCTTTTGGGCTCCTTACCGGATGAGGAGTATGATACCTTCGTGCTTACTTTGTTGAACGGGAGATCTTCTATCATATATAGTAAAGTTACTAATACCGACGAACTATGATTTGTGGAGCAAGGACAAGGAGATTTCCTGCGTTAGTACTTCAGGAGAGGTCTTATCGACGAGAGGTCGAAACCCATATTCGAGAGGTGGTAATAGGAACATGTCAAAGTCTAGAGTTCATCACCAGTTAACAAAAAACCAGTGTGTGTTCTGCAAGGAACAGTGACATTAGAAGAGAGACTGTCTGAAGCTCAAGGAGAAGGAGAATAGCAAGAAGAAGGGTCCGAATGCTAATGAGGTGAATGTTGCGAAAGATGATGATTACGATGATTCGAGCTTTTCTCTATTGATTACTTCGGAGATGAACCATGTGGATGCATCAGATTGGATGCTTGATTCTGACGCTACTTATCATGTGACTCCTAGGCGAGATTGGTTTGCATCATTTGAGAGACTTGATGGGGGTGTTGTTGTCATGGGAAATGATCAATCCTGTGATATTTGTGGGATAAGTACTGTGAGGATTCAGATGCACGATGGAATAGTCTGTGAATAGAAAGAAGTGGGATTTGGAATTGCTATAATATTATCTTAAATTTCAATGTTACTATGAGCATTCGGAGTCATGATCTATACTTACAAGCCTAATCCAAGTATGTTCAAAGTATAAAACATTGAATAACCTCATCCTACATAAAATGTTCAAGGGTGAAAGGTAATCGAAAAACCTCTGTTCTACAATACGTTAGATCAATGAAAAGTTTAGGATTTCATCCAAGTAATGTCTCATATAGCTTATTTATGTTGAACAATTGAATATTATAGATTCTCTTTCATTTATCAAAAGTTACAACTACTTCCTTTTATATAAGGATATAATAGCAAAGGTTTTTGTGTGTAGATAGTATGAGACTGAACTCAATTAATTACCTAATCATAATTATTCTCCTACTGATATTCCTAATATTTCTTAATCACTAAATCTCTAAGATACCTCCTAATATATCTTCTGTAATATTTCATATTCCTTAATTAATTCTAACACTTCTCCTCAAGCTGACACATATATAACATGCATGTCCAACTTATTATAAACAAAATGCACTCACTCTAGTTCATAACGAGATTCAAAGGCTTAATCTGTGTGTAACATCACTTTCAGTAGTTTTGATCTTCTACCTTCGACTTGAATATCCTCTACCACATGATCATGAAATGCTTCATTTTGATCTTCTTTAGAGATTGGCCAAACAAAATAATCATCTCTAGGGATTTACTAGACAAATGATCCTCTCTAAGGTTCCACCAAACAAATGATCCTTGCTATGATCAACCAAGCTAATGATCATCTCTAGGGATTCACCAAGCAAAAGATCCATTCCACATACCAAATAAACGATTCTCTTACGAATCAATCAAACAAATAATTCTCTCAATGAATCAACCAAACAAATGACCCACTCTACCGATCAACCAAACAAATGATCTCTTTCACAGATCAACCAAACAAATGACTTAGTCCACTAATCAAGCAAACAAAGGACCCACTTTAGGGATCCACTAACCAAATTAACTAACAGAAGAAACTGAACACTTCCAAATAAGCTAACAAAATAATCCTTACTGAATCACCAACAACCTTCGCCAAACTAATCTCCAAAGAACAATCTTTACCAAAGCATCCTGCAAGCAAATCCAAACTTTGAGAAGCCTTACTGAAACTCAAGAAAATTCTCATTGTGGAGTTGATCTCCTCATAAGTCTGATGATTATGCAGAATCTATATGAGTTTATCATGTTGCAATTTTCTTCAAACACTGAAACTCAAGAAAATCATCGTCATTGAGTTGACCTATCCATGAGATTGATGATGATGCAAAGTCTATATAAGCTAATCATGATGTCTTTTTCCTTAATCTCTGACATGATACTTGCACTAGTAGAAAAATGCGCAAACTATATGACTTTATATGTTCATACTCTTTCCAATAGTAACATATCACATTCACCAACCGAAAAACAAATGCCAAGCATCGCTCTACCTCCCTTTCAAACCAAATGAAACTCCTTGCACCACCCTTAAACAACCAAATAAACTACCAAAACAAAATAACTCCAAACTCCAAGACCATTTCAACCATCAATAATGCCAATAAATAACAATTAACCCTACTAACTCCAAAAATAATCTATCAACTTGAAAAACAACAAAAGAAATCGTACCAAATTCATCTCTGTAGCAGGAGAAACGAGGCAGCTACGACCTGACAATGATCATGGCAATGAACCGTGTGATGGCACTGATGGTCGGGTATGGTTAACATTAATTTGAGGGGGCGATAAGGAATTGTCCAGAGGAGAATAGAGGAGTTTAGGCAGAGGCGGCGGTCGAATGGGAGGAGGAGGGGTAAGGGTTTGAGGAGTAGGCTAAAACTTCATTCTGAGAATCACAGGTCTAATCCATGTTGTACAAATAGATTAATGTTGTAGATTCTCATTCTTTAATCAAAGGCTACAAACTACTTTGCTTTATATAAGGATACAAAAGCAAAGGTTTTTGTGTATAGGCAATATGTGACTAAACTTAATGACCTAATCATAATTATTCTCCTAATCATATTTACAATATCTTTCAATCACTAATTCTCTAAGATATCTCCTAATATATCTTGCCTAATATTATATATTCCATAATTACTTCTAACAATCAGTTCATTTACAAGTAAAGGCATATGGACAATTTTGCAATTTTGTCCTTCTACGTAGTATATTACCCTAGTTCTTTTTATTTCCTAAATAGTATATACCAGAAAAAGTAAATAAAAATATATATAAATGGTCAACTTGGCAATATTTTGCGACACCACACGACACTATATAGATCACCCCTTAGGCTAGATTCTTATATATTGATTTTGACTCAACTAGCTTTTGATCGAATCTCATTGAATTGGGTTTTACCGTTTTAAGTCCGATTTGCCTCCAACTTATCCGATTGCAGCCCTAGTTTATAACCATTATCTTCCCGTTGAGATCTACTAGCCAATTCATTTTATAAACTACAAAACAACCTATTAAAGTAACAATATCCATGTGTTATTGAAACCGACATGCAAAAAAAAAAAAAAAAAGCACATTAAGACACAACCCCCCTCCATTTTCGTATAACAAAACTTCAAAGGGTTATTTAATACTAGCCCCTTATATTTTCAATAATTTTATATTAGTCCCTCAATTCTTTAAAATTGCTCATTAGACTCTTAAATTCCAAGTGCTCTTCCAAATTGATCCCTTAATAACCACAATACCCTTCAGTTATATATTTCCTTCCAAAATCCATCTTCAAAAAGGGTTATTTGCATTTTTTATTCTAAAGTCTACATCATTTTTAATGTTAATACCTCCATTTTTTTGTGACTCTTTGATACCATAAACTTTGCACTTTTTTAAATTTGATAAAATGAATTTTTTTTGACATTTTTTATACTATAAAATTTATACCTTTTAACTCTAATTTTCCAAAATTTTATTTTTAACATTTTAATACCCTAAAAGTTTGGGCATCAAAATTAAAAATATGTAAACATTAAGATAGCATAGTTAAAAAATTTGGAAGCTTTGGGGATTGGGAAATTAAGTAAACATTGAGATATCAAAAAGTGTCATAAAAAAACTTCATGATATTAAAGTTAAATTAGGTGTAAACTCTGAGGTAACAAAGTGTCAAAAGTTTTGTAGTATCAAGTTAATTATAAGTGTGAATTTAATAGTGTCAATTGTGAATAATACCTTATAACAAAAATACTAATTGAGGGGTATTTTGGTCATTGAGGAGAAAATCGCAAGGCCCCTTAGGATTTAGGGACTTATAAGCAGCCTCAAAACATTTTAGGGACTGCTATGAAATTATTGTAGATCCGAGGGACTGATAGCTAAATAACCCAACAATAAAACGCAACAGCACTCCACATTAAACTGTACCCAACAGTCCATATCTTGGCTATTAAGATAAAATTATCATTTCCGCCCCCCACAAACTAAACAATTACACTAAACGACAAAAACAAACAAGGGGGTGCCTTATAAATCTCCCAGCGATTCATCGCCTCCTTTCGTTCTCGAACGACAAAGCACTCTTTCGATCGGAACAGATACAAAGAGGGGGAGCGAGAGGGGGAGGGGCTCCATCTCTTCTTTGTTCCATGCACATTCCCTCTCAATGCAGCCTCTCTCCCCGTCTTCGTTCCTCTGCCCTGAGTCTCCCTATGACGTGGCATCTTGGGACTCCGACGAGTGGGCCCCGCTCGAGACCGCCGCCGGCGAGTCTCCTATCTCCCTCCTCCTCGCCGACGAGGCCGAGCTCATGCCCATTACTCAATCCCTCCCTCCAAACCCCATTGCTCGTCTGAACGCCGTCAATTGGATCCTAAATGTAAAACAAAAAAAAGATGGCAAAAAGAAATGATCTTTGTTTTATTATCACAAGCACCCTCCCTTTTTGCTAATTACATTTTGCCCACTTTTTGTCTACAGGTTAACGAGTTCTACCGGTTTAGACCCGCGACGGCGTTCCTCGCCGTCAACTACCTCGACCGCTTTCTCTCTTCTCGCCCTCTACCCGTAAGTTCACTCTGTTTAACTTTTAACATTTTCTATCTCAATTTTTAATTTTCTCGGGTTCTGGATGTAAATTTCTGGGAATTGCAGGGGCAAAACGGTGAAAGTGGGGGCTGGCCGATGCAACTGCTGGCGGTGGCGTGCGTGTCGGTGGCGGCCAAGATGGAGGAAACGCACGTGCCTCTCTTATTGGATCTGCAGATTTTGGATCCGAAATTTGTATTCGAATCCAAAACCATTATGAGAATGGAGCTTCTCCTAATGTCGGCGCTCAAGTGGAGAATGCGCTCCGTCACGCCCTTCGATTTCGTTGCCCATTTCGTCGATTCGATGAAACCCGAAATTTTCGGCCGTTCACGTGCAGGTTTGATCTCACGTGTCGCCGATTTAGTCCTCAGAACTTGCCGCGGTAAGAAATTTTTTTACTCCATTTGTGTTTGTTTCTTAATTTGGGATAATGTGATTTTCTTTTACTAAATTTTATTTGGTATTTTTTCTTTTTTTCTTTTTTTTTTTAGTGGTGGAATTTTCGGGGTGTCGGCCATCGGAGATTGCGGCGGCGGCGATAATTCGCGCCGCGAAAGATATTCCCGATATTTCGGACGGTGAAAGCACTGATTTATTGAAATTATTAAAACCGTGGGTTAATGAGGTAAAATATTAACCAATCTAGTTTCGTGTTTATTAATATAATTTGACTTCTCGAATCACGTAATCATGCTAATCATTAATCATTCCAAATTTCACGTGCCATTTAAAGAGTATCCACCAAATTTAGTTGAGTTTTCCTTAAATTGTCAAATTTTATTACTATGATGAAAGTGAAATCTCAATATTAATACTTGAAATATAATTCGTTTCACAGGAAAGTCTGAATACATGTCTGAAATTATTACAAGATTCTTCGGTTGAAAAGCCGCTTCAAGAGCCCACGACACCTCAGAGCCCCATAGGGGTAATTGACGCTGCGGCCTGTCGGAGTTCCGAGAGCCAAAGGTCCTCGGCGGCGGCAACACCGCCCTTAAAGCGTCGCCGGCTTGACGAGAGCCTATGTATAGAAAGCAAAAATGGTGTCACTAAAAGTCTTTAGAGAGAGAGAGAGAGGACTAGTAATTGTTGTTTAGTCTTTTAGTTATTATTATGACGGTAAAATAGTTTAAATAGAACTTATTTTTGTAATTTTGCTTGTGTATTATTATTCACTTTCAGTTAGTCTGTCTATTTTTGTAACAATAAGTTTTGGAAGGGAGGAACCAACATTATTACGTCATTTAACATATATTTGTTCTTCATGCAATAAATTTCTTTTCGAGGGGTGAAAGTGATAAAATCTTGTGGCCCCCATGATCTTTTGTTTCCTTATTCCCGGTGGTGTGCTCCGAAGGGCTACTGGGCTTTAAAGCTGAACCAACGGGATGCGTGCACGTGTTCGTGGTCAGCGTAGAGTACTGCGGGATCCACCGCATTCCTTTCGCGCGCTGCCGCCGGCTTCGGCGGAGGCCTCGTGACGAGGGAAAATGTGAACTCCCGTTCGATATTCGCCCCCGCTGATTATTAACTTTTGGCGTCGATGTGGACAACTTTTTATCGACATTCTCATCTGTTAAAATGTTTAATATGGGCGTTGGATTATCACTTTCCCGCCGATTTTTGGAGATCTTGGCAAATGGACGGCTCAGATCTGCGTTCTGAGATGCGTTGGCGGCATCAAGCTGACGTGTGCGGAGCAGTGCATGGGCGCCAGCTATGAGGAGCAATCTTGGCCGTCCACGTGGTGTTTACCCTGGAGGCTAGCGTATTATTTTTTCGCGCGCTGCGCGGGGGGGTGGAGAAGCGAAAAGACCTGTTTCGTACAACGGAGCCCCCATGTACTGGCGTTTGCAAGAAACCCTATTTTTTTGAGTCAATTTGCGATTGTGCCATCCGTGTCACATCAAATCGGACCGAAAAGTTTCGGGTTTGCTTGGGAGCGGTAATAATGGCTTGTTTGGACCTTTTTGCGGGCTTTAGACTTTTAAGCGGCCTTCTATCGTGTATCCAGCAGCTCTAGTTTTCTTTCCCTGTTTTGTTCTCGGTGTAATTTGGATTCCATTATTTATTTTATCGTTTACGTTTTTTTTATTTAATAAATTAGGACAAAAGATATTCTTAAGCGGTTTATTTGAGGATACATCCCTTGTACTGTGGCTCACTTGCGGATAGACCCCTAGAGTTTCAGACGGGCCAATTGTAATATAATCAAGGATGGGCAACAGACTTGTTGAGATTACTACTGTTATAATTGCTTTTTTTGTGTTTACTATGTTAAGAAAATCTGAATTTCTACAGATCTCACTTTTTTTCTTCTTGTAATAAAGAAGTAATAGGACGTTACATGTTAAGTTACTATTGCGCTTGGTTTAGTTAATACTAAACAATCAATAAAGCTAGAGATCAAAGGGTATCCGAGGCGGCCCAACAGGGGGAATATGATGTACTACTGCTCCATTCCAAAAGCATATAGTTGGAGTCATCATGATCTCCTTGATTAGTACATGTTTAATTGTTCATGATGCTTCTTTATACCATCGTCAATGAAACCGTTGCTCAACGTACATGTATGCGTTAGCCAATTTATAAATGAATGATTCCCTTGGTAGAAAATTTTAATACCAAGTCCCCTCAACTCTCTGTTTTTTGTTTCACACAGGCGAAGTATCTTGTATCTGCTATTAGCCATTATTGTCACATGGAGTGCTTAGTTTAGTCCTCAAAACTACTGGCCAACATCCAGAAATATTAGTTTTATGGCCTGTGGAAGGATTTAGATATGCGTATAGGTACGGACAATTGAGATTATAGTTTGCACAACTGGTCGGGTTAAATTATTTTTCTTTTGTAGGATCCGACCCGTTGACGCCCCCCTCCCTGACAAGAGACAAAAAAAAAAAATCCCGTCACTCTGCGAATTCTCTTATGTAAAGATGAAACCGATAGTGCTTAGCACTAGCCCAAGACCGTAATACCCGAGAAATCCGAAAGAAACCAAGAGAATAAACCTCTAAGTATGAAGAAGAATATGAAGAACACTTAGAGAACACTTGAAAGACTTTTAGAGAAATGTAGAGGACTTATGAAGAGGAAGACTCTTTATTTAAACTTGCTTTATTCACTTGTTCAACTTTTTCTTCTTGCTTACAAATGAGAGAGGTGATGAGGTATTTATCTTTTTCTTCTTGCTTACAAATGAGAGAGGTGATGAGGTATTTATAGCCTCCCAAAGATATGTTACAAATTAAGGATCTAGATTCTTCTAATATCACCTCCATAGTTCCTAGATATTTTTTTAATCTCTAGAAATTTCTACATAATATCTAAATATTTTTATCATAAATTATCTAGATGTTTCTATACTATTATCTAGATATTTAGCTTAAAGATTTTTCTAGAACACTTTAAGGAGGTGATCAACCTTCTAGAGTGTTTCTAGAAAACCTCTAGAATTTGGACCTAATTTTGGGTTTGGTCAAACTTAGAATAATTCCATCATAAACCCAAAATTAAGCTTGATCCAAAATCAAGTTTAATTTCAATACTCCCCCTTAAACTTGATTTTGTCAACCATCCCGAGCTTCGAGCAAAGTAACTCAAATTGGCCCTTTGGTAGTGACTTGGTGAAGATATCTGCAACGTTGTCTTCGCTTCGAACCTCCAAAGCTTAAATTGTTCCATCAAGCACATTCTCTCGTATAAAATGATGTTCTAACTCGATATGCTTCGTCCTTGCATGAAACACCGGATTATTAGCCAACTTGATAGCACTTTGATTATCTCCATATTTTTGAGAGAACCCTCGAGCAACCAACCATGCCTTAAATCTGTCAATGCTCCCATCCGTTTTTCGCTTAATTCGGTATACCCATTTACAAGAAACGGGTTGGACATCCTTGGGTTTTGGAACCAAATCCTAAGTTTCGTTCTTCATGAGAGCATTCATCTCCTCCTTCATTGCGCCCTCCCACTCTTGAACTCCTTTTGCTTCATCATACGATGATGGCTCCTCTTCATCTAATGGAGTTGTAAAGTAGCATGAGTAAGTAGTGACAAACCTTTCATCTCTGAACCGAGCAGGCTTAACAATGTTCCTTTTTGGCCGTTGATTAGCCATGGAACTACGATCTTCTTCCTCATCTTCCTCTTGATCAGTGCTCCCCCTTTCATCTTGCGTCTCTTCTTCAAGACTTCCGCTTTCACTTGGCATTTGAACAACTGGTTCATCGATCTTGGAGGAACCCCCACCTTCTTGTTCGACCAAGACTTGAGGTGGCCCATAAAATGAGAAAACTTCATCAAAGACAACATCACGAGACACGGTGTACCTGTGTGTCTCTGGATCCATACACCTCCAGCCCTTCCTTTGTTCATCATAGCCGACAAAGATGCATTTCTTCGCCTTTGCCTTCAACTTGGTTCTTTGAGAGTCAAACACGTGGACGTAGTAGATTGATCCAAATATCCTGAGATGTTTCACTGTTGGCTTCTTCTCATGAACCATCTCATAAGGAGACTTCATATTGTTTGGACTAAGTGGCATCCGGTTGATGACATACGCTGCACATCTCATGCCTTCCGCCTATAAGGCCTTAGGCAAATTTTTGTCATGTAACCAGCTTCTACATGTCTCGCTTAGATGTCTTATCTTCTTTTCTGCTACTCTATTTTGCTGAGGTGTATACGGACATGTAAATTCTCTCTTGATACCATGTTTTTGGGAAAAAGAGAGAAACTCCTTTGACATGAACTCCCCTCCATTATCCGTCCTTAAAGTCTTGATCTTCTGACCTAATTCTCCCTCCACGGTAACCTTGAATTCTTGAAACTTGGAGAATACTTCTGATTTTTCCTTCACAAAGTATACCCAAGTGTACCGTGAGAAGTCATCAACAAACAGTAACATGTATCGAAACCCAGAATAGGAGGATGTTCTCGTCGGACCCATCAAATCACTATGTACCCTCTCTAATGGAGCGCTGCATCGTGAAGTGGAGTTGTCAAATGGAAGCCTATGTGACTTTTCATATTGACAGCCTTCACAAAGCTTTCCTTCATCATGAATGTTCAACTTTGGGAGTCCGTTAACCAAATCCTTATTTACCATAACCTTTAGCTTAGTCATATTTATATGGCATGATTTATATGACCAAGCCTAGCATGCCATATAAAGGCATTATCATTCGTACTCATCTTCTCAACATAAGAATTTGAGGCCGATAAAACATATAAATCCTTAACCCGTGCTCCGGTGTGAACCACGTCCGCTTTTAATTCTTTAATATTCTTTAAGAATTTAACGTCTCTTGGGCCAAATAAAACGTAGTTGCCTGAGTCAACCGCATTCACCACAGAGAGAAGATTCTTCCTTACTCCAGGAACATGATATACGTTCTTGAGTGATTGGGCTTCCATCATCTCCTTCAATAACGACCGTCCCTTCCTTCTCAACGCGGTGGATTGAATTATCCGTAGTAATGATGACTTCTTTCCCGTCATGACGCTGAAGACTAGAAAATAACTTCTCGTCTCCGGTAATATGATGGCTACAACCAGAATCCACAATCCAATCATTTCCAAGATTTTAGCTGTGGATGAACCTGAAGATGCAGCCTCTACCGTGAAACATTTTCCCCATTCTTTGTCTTCAGTATGACCCTTTGATTCCGCCATATTTGTTTCCTTCAGCTTGACTCGACAATCCTTTTTGAAATGCCCAAGTTTTCCACACCGATAACACTTGAATAGCTTCTTGTCTCCCGTAGAAGATCCTTCTTGTCCATCATTATTCTTCACATTACCATATTTGGGTTTGGCTCTGAAGCTTTGTTGTCTCCCCGCTACAAAAGCGCTCCCCGAGTCATCATGGACTTTAACTCCCGTCATTTGCATGGCTAGTGATTCTTGCGAAGCTAGTAGATTTTCAAACTCCTCTAAGGAAGGTTGTGTAGCCCATCCTTAAACTGAAGTAACAAACGGTGTATATTCGGGTCGTAGACCACGAATAATAGACCGCTTCAACCGTGCTTCCGAAATCGACTCCTCCAGATTGAGAGTATTAATCTCAGAGCAAAGATTTTTTACCTTGATAAAAAAAACTCTGAGATTGAAGACTCCCCCTGCTTCGCATTCGCCAACTCGTTCTCTAACAGTTGTAGACGGGCCTCGTTCTTCTTGTTGAACAATTGATCTAGTGCCTGCCAAATAGCACTTGTGGATGTACATCTTGAGACATGCTCAAATAGTCCTGAAGATATTGATCTCTTCAAAG